CCAAATAGCCCTGATTTTTCCACACGAACGAATAATTGTCAAGCGAGAGAGGAGTCTTAACAACGAACGTTGAATTTGAACAAGAGCAAAACAAAAAAAATAACGTTCCTACAATCTAACACCAGTCAACGTTTACCTGCCTTATTATATCGACAATCAACTAATAACGTGGGATAATACATATTTCTTCAGTACCCCAAGATCGAATTATCAATTTCGGTTGACGCAAATACATACCGTGGAGAAGTAGCCATAACCGGCATACACGTCCAACACTTTAGACCAAGTGGTTGTCACTTTACAAACAAATTACCAAACTCTAAACCTGCTCACAAGAATTCCTGGCAAAGGGACGCAAATCTCAAAATAGTAAGTCAGCCAAATAGTGGAGTGACTGTAACACCACTCACATCGACAGCACAATGCATACAGGAATATTTTTTTTTTTTTTTTTGCCGCGACACAATTGACACCCCATAAATTAGGGATGCTACCTCACAAAAAAACGAACAATCAAGATCGGCATAAGTGTTAAAATAGTTACATAAAGAGCTACTTAACTTAATGTTCGACATCTTTGGGTTGGAGAACACGTAACGAATACGGCACGTGAAAGATGCTCATGGTTTCTTTGAATTCTCCGCTCTCGAAACAGTACTCGATGCCATTTGTAAGCAATCTTGCTGTGGTGCCGGATATGATGCCAACGAGGTTGCATAGTAAATAAAATTAATATTGCAGTCTGTTTCTTCTCGGCTTCAGAATGTTTCTTGCCTGCTTTTTAGCCGCCCAAAACATAGGCCGAAATGTACGTCTTGTATGTTTTGACATCTCGTCCAAGGTCTTCCCAATCGGCTAACCGAAGTGAACGTTGTCGTGCATTCCCGACACTACGGGATCTGCTAGTTCTATCAACCGTGTTTTCTACTTGCACTTGAAAAAGACATAGTCGTGATGTTAAAGGTTTACTGCTGGGCTGATAGTGCCGCACTGCCTGATTCATGATGATTCACACAGGAATGAACAAAGTGTGACTAAAAAGGAAAACTGCACTGTAGCGAGACTGGCCTAGATTGACATTCAACCTTCTGTCCTCCACTTAAATACCCCTTGTCACATGACCCCACATACCATACCCGTCTGTTTGCCATCTCGAACAGACAATAGTTACCCGATATACTGCGAAACGCGGTTAACAATATTTAAGCCGTGTGTGAATTAGTACAAACGAGGATGGCGACCTAATCAATCTGAGTAACAGTACAGCTGATTTATCTAGTCGACAAACACATATTTGAACTTTTCTAAGACATCGCAGTATTCTATTATTGACAATTACAAGTTTATACTATTGACGTATTACGGGATTACAGGGTGAATATCGTTCTGAATAATTCCTCATAATCCATTTCAAACAAATAGAATGCACGGTTTTCATGATCAGTTTACTATGGTGCCCGCTGTAATGTTATATATGTGTTTACATAGAGGTCAGGTTTTTACTGCGGCTCCTAGTAATATAGATGATCAATTACAAATATCTGAACTTTCAGAAACTATACATCAAGGTGCGTTTCAGGGAATATTTAGTTTGGAAAATTAAGTTTGGAAAAACAAAACCAAAACGGTACACAACATTCTTAAGCGTAAACTTTATTTCATACAAATTTTGTATAAACCATTGTCACACTGATTATAATAAACAAATGTTTAACATTACAATACAGCGGCTAATTTGATATCATTATAATTTTAGACCCCTATTCAAATTGAATCGCATAACAATTTTCATTGGTTTATTATGTGATGTCATGGAGCTATTGTCTCACGGCATCATGAAACAGCATTATTATGTGTGTTACAGTGACGTATTTTGAGAAACTTAATATTAAAAAAAAAATCATATGTTTAGAACAATTCCATAGAACACAATGCTTAAGAGAAATTGTTTTTTAACAAGTTTCAAAAGCCCGATTTTTGAAATAATTCAGGACAACAAAATGTAACAAATCATTCACAATATGTGACCAGCCTATAATTTGAGATATGGCATAATATCTCTGCCATAGCAACCTATGGTTAGGGTTATAATATTGACAAAATGGCCATTATCAACTAAAATACAACCATCATTTTCTCGACAAAGTCAATATCCTCATATTACCCGGGATTACAGTTTATTTCAAAATAAATTAATTCTGGGTATTCGCATTTATTAGTAGGCTTTTATCTTAATATGATTTTTGATACTATCAAAGGAGGTTGTTTATTATGAATCATAATCCTATATTGTATCCATATTGTCACTGTCATTTTAGTGGTTTCCTGAAAAGAAAGGCGTGGCATGTGGTTGTATTGTTGCTGGTTTCGGTGGTGGTGCGTTTATCTTTAATTTTGTGCAAACGTCATTTATTAATCCAAACAATTTGTCGCCAACGGTGGAGGAGAACGGTGAACAGTAAGTCATGGCATCATATGAATTCAACATTCCACAGATATAATATATTTGCATCTTGTAGACATTGGGTCATGCACATAGCTTCACTGGTTGCATTGGGTATGTTTTCTTTTAATTTTATTCGGAAGGTATTTCGGATCGGACGAGGTCGAAGTGCTCGATAGAACCCCATATTGCTTTCTGTTGCTAGGTGGGTGCTATATTGTCATGCAGATTATTGGCTCTCTGTTATTGGTTGATCCACAATACCATGGCAAGGTGAGGCTCTATTGTTGAAAAATGCAAAATTTATGATAACCTTTATGTGATACGTGAAATTAAATATTTGGCTGAATTGAATATTTTGTGTGGTGTACTCTCGTAATCATTTGTTTCACTCATCACGTGACACCAGGTAGTCAATTTTAAAATTGTTCATTTTGCATATCTACACGTATAGTATGTGGAAGGAAAGACTACAATAGCCATTGTTAACGTCACACTTATGAAGGCTCCTTCAAAATATCAATGAAATATCGCGGGACTATACGAAATATACGATTAAATTATAAGTAGAGACAATAATACAACTTTGTGGTTCGGATCTTAATATAGGTTATTGAAGAGGAAGAGAAGTTACTTGTATCTATAAACAGTGAACCGGAAGACATAAGATGGAGTGGAATAACTATACGTAGAAAAGAGATGTTGAAGACGAGAGCATTTTGGACATTGTGGTTGACATTCATGGCAAATACCCAGACGTCAGTCCTGGTTGCAACATTGTATAAAGCAAGTATTGATTACCATTGATGCATTTAAATAACAAACAATATCTTATGGTCATAGCAAATATTGTTTCCTTACTTGACGAGATATCATTGTAAATATGGCACAGTAAACGTCACAATATTCCGGGTGAACTCCACTTCTGCTGCCAAACAGAGTGGTAGCCCGGGGATAACTCGCGAGTTAAAAATAGTTGAAAGTAACCTACCATAACAAAATCCTGATTACAATAGACCGTCATTTGGCCAACTAGTTTCTCGGAGCACGGCAGAATACATATTGGGACAGCATCACTGTTTGGCTCAATCCTACAAAAGTTTTAGAGGCGGCCAAAATCGTAATTTGCTATGGGTGATGTAATTTTTAGTGATACTACTGGCACTCGAATATAATGACCGTGACTCAAAATCAAGATAGGAACATCATACAAAGAAAATTGTCCATTCAGTTCGACCTTCAATCAACTGGTAATGCATACGGGTCCCAAACAGCATCGGCATCAATTACTGCGATTTCTTTGCTCTGAACAACTACGATACAGACTTTCCGTTTTCGACATTGTAAAATTCTTTTTTTTTATGGAAGAAAATACAGTATTTTTACCAAGTAAAATCATATTAATAAAAGTTATTATTCATACAAGAGTTTTTGAAGGCGCTACATAGTTTGTAGTTTGTAATTTCATTCAACTGCTCTCAGTCATAATTTAAATGAAATGCAAACAAATCAAGAACATAACAGATTATGTGTTGTCTTTTACATTCACGTGTAATCGGTAATTATTGGTGTGCATATAGAAAACATTTCGTTATGAAATATTCCCAATCTGATTTCACTTGTCAAAATCAGTTGTTTTCAGTTTTTTTTAAAACGAAATAATTTCACAATGTAGAAAACAGGATTTTTTTTATCGTAATGTTGAACGTATTCAACATTCCTAGAAAGTACGCACATCTCCAAGAAAGCGAATAGGTCTCTCTCCAAGAAAGCGTCGTCTTCCTGCTGTTACAATACGCCGAGTTGAGAAAAAACCCTCAAAACTCCTGACAATAACATCGAATATTTTGTCTCTGAACTTGAGCAACATACTAAGATTTTGACCTAACATATGAGGTTGACGTCGTTTATTCGATTTGTTGTTGACTGATACCCTGTTTCGTTGTTTTTGCGGGAATTGTCGGAAGCACGTACCGTAGGCTTGGTTTTGTGGAGTAAGTTTCTTCGGGCGATGACAGGATAAAGAAGCGACTTACATACATTCTGAATTCGTACGGGAAGAGTGTCAATTACATCCCTATAATTGGTCGATTAAGATGCGCTATGATTGGCTACTTGTCACATCCGGTCATATTATATTGGTTACATAATTGACATGTATGATCGGGTGAGAGGCCGAACGTCATCGTCTGTAATTGGTCTTATAGGGGAGACATGTAAGAGGTTGAAGGTAGTATATTGATATTGCTACCACAAACATTAACATTTTGTTATTCCAAAATATGCGAACTAATAAGAACAAATTCGTGTCTTTAGAAAACGAAATGATTGAAATTGACGGTTTCACGTGGAACCTACCTGATGTGAAGTGGTTCAGAACCCGCTAATACATTGATTACATCAACATGTTAAATAACTAATACATTGTTATTCTATTACTAGGCGTTCGGTCAAACCTTTATATCTAATGATCGTTTACTGTCAATAGTTGGATCATTCGCCTCAGTGTGCAATTGTTTTGGCCGCATAGTGTGGGGACATTTGGCTGACAAATTTTGCTTCCGGGTAATTATACAATAATTTTGTTTCTGAAATCACACATTTTAATAATAACGACAATGACAACGACCATATTCTGTAAATAGTTTCATGTTATATTTTTGTTTATTACAGGATGCTATGATGTTGCTATGTGCATTAAATGCTGCTTTTTTATTCACAATTGTAGCAGTACCGGAAGCTGGTGAAGTAATGTTTTTCATTTGGGTGTGTTCTATATTCTTTATGTTTTCTGGTAATTTTTCACTGTTTCCAACGGCAACCGCCAGGTAAGTGAGAGAAGAAAGCATTGGCAGTATGAATAAGTGACGAATGTTTAGAATGAAACCAATAGGGGCTATACATTATCTTTGATAATTGAGTTTTCTCTGTTTTCTTTGCATATTATGCAAATCATATATGAATGGATACGCTAAACAGTCGTGATTAATTGTAACAGTCTATTTTTTTAAGAAAGCTTGTTATTAAAGCACTAACTAATTAATATTTCTAATCTGACCATTCATTGAGTTTTACAAATCGTTGCCAATAACTTTCGTGTTTGTGTGCATTATTAAGATTAAGCTCTGAAATAACGTTTAGCGTGTTGATGTCAGACACACCCATATAATGACATTATTCATTTATTTATCTTTTACTAGAGCCTTTGGCAAAGATTATGTTGGAGAAAACTATGGTTTATTGTTTACCTCATTAATAGTAGCTTCATTAATTGGAACCCTGTCATCTAGTATACTATCTGATGTAATTGGATGGACAGGGATATTTTTTTACTGTGCTGGATTTTCCGTATTTGGTAAGACATGACTAAAATACTTTTTGTAAATTTTTATATCATTCTATATGAAACAATTTCAGTGTTTGTTAACATACTTGTTTTTCAACTATTTCATGGCCCACTACCTTAGATATACAATAAAACTTGAAAAAATGAAATGATGATGAAAATGCACATTGTTTATCAAATTTGAGTGAATAGGGTTCGTAATATTTAACTTGACAAAATCCCATACTTGGGCCATAATGCGCATTGGTTATCAAATTTGATGACCAGGGTTTTTATAATATAAATTGGAAAACTCATGTTGTGATTAGAATGGGCATATACGTTGGTATTGACGTTGAATGATGATGGTATGTAATATATGACTTGGAAATTATTTGTCTGAATGGTTTTTTAGTTATGCTTAACATTTTGTACCACTATAGGACTAATACTAACGTTCACGTTTAACGTGAAAACACCGACAGGGCAACACATCTAGAATGAAACCACTCACCGACCGGTCAACTCATCTAGAATGAAACCACTCATCGACCGTTCAACTCATCAAGATTTGGAAATGACTCAACAATTCGTCAAAGCATCATGTTACTGAGACGGTGAATTTCAAGGAAGGTTTACAGTCGTGATTATGTTTGCATTTTACCAAACTAAATGTATGTACAATACATTATTTACCAATGTGTGCAGGCAAATAAAGTATACATTCTCACTAAATGTGTTATGTAATTCAATCCAAGCTCGTCATATTGGCTACACGTACAATAGAGTTCGCGTTAATCGTGTTCTCCAATCAGCAACAAGGACAGTTACGTCTGTTGCCAAGTGGTGTTGTTACGTCTGTTGCCAAGTGGTGTTGTTA